ATAAGAATTTATATTAGTTAACGTAACTATGTAGCAATTGATAAATATAAAAAATGTTCATGTTAATATATGTAACAAATAAACTTTTGTAGTACAAGCAATAAGATACAAATACTTTTAATAATTATCGCGCGCGCGCGAGTAAAAATCTATTCATAAATTTATTATACGAAATTATAAACAAATTTCTAATTTAAAGTATTTTATAGTAATGGATAAAAAAAATTGAAGATCTCCGCGCGTTTAGAGAAATATCGCACCAAAGTAAAAATTTAAATAAAGTAAAAATTTTCATTGCAAAAGAAATGCTGTTAGATAAAGAAAAATGATTTACAGAAACATTTTCTTTACTCATTCGACAATTTGCCGGACCGTATTACTCGAGAATTTACGAAGCTGCGCACGGAATTACCTGAGCAGTGACATCGACAATATTCTAACAACCTTGAGCTTCCCTGTGCCATGTATTTTGGCCTTGATGTTTTGCTTCCTCTGCTCATTTTCCAGAAAGGATTCTGCTATTCTTTTCACGTAACAAACATGATATGCAGTGCAGTTCTTAGTTATGTCGACACAGTAAATCACTAACAAGACGCAAGAGTTTAAAAAAGAAGTCACAAGCTTCGAAATCCTCTAAAATACAATATAACGATAAAAAAAAAAGTAGAAGAGCAAAATTAAATTGGACTGATAAACAATACAGCTAAGAAATATACAAAAGAGATTCTGATTTTTTTATTCAAAATTACAAGATTTAATTTATGTGACATTTATTTGCTCAGTGAAAAAGTCTCATTATATGTATTTATTTATTTGCTCTATTTAATACATTCGCTCGACATAAATCTTTTTTTCTGTTGGCGGACTATGAAAAGCCGCACACACGCGAGGTAGAATGAAAAATAACTTTTAAATTAATAATTTTCTCCTTTTAAGTAGCGCGGCGTGATTGTGCAGCAAATCGTGATTCGCATCCTTCATACGAATGCGCGCGATAATGATACTCTTCTTACAGATCAAGACACACTCCGTTTTTCTGCCTTTCCCTTCCACAACGTAGAAATCATAAGTGATTATGCATACATGATTTTTATTCCCCTTCAATTTCCGCAAGCAATCGCGGATCGCGGGAGAGACTCGGGCGTGCAATCTGTGCACGATCGAATGCTAGTTAATATTATAAGAAAAAAGAATTCGTTCATGGTCATCGATAGGAATAAACGACAATCATGGGACTGATCTTATGGACGCGGAAATCCGGGGATACACATAATTTTGCGCATGTTTCCGTGTTGTAATATTCACTTTTTTCCCGCGTTTTCGCGGGCGAGTTCAATAAGATGCGTGTTAATCGAGTATCGTGAAGTATTCTCATAAAATATGTTTTTTTTTACTGAAATATCATTAATAAAATTCAGAATCTATAACGAATGAAATATTAATAGTGTATATTGGTACATAATGTTGAGATAATTAATGTCTAACTATTAATCCATTGTTATTGATTTAATAATTATTGATAATTGTAATTTGCATTTATTGAAATAGTCCGGATATTACCGAAGCTGAAGTATATTTTTTTACATAGTTTTAGTTACGAGATACGCTAAAGGATAATTTACACAATATACGCGGTGCATATCGTGCAAAAATTTTATTTTTAGAAATTTATTCTGCGGACGAGGATACGACCACGAGCGTATCGTGTTCTTTGCGGTTGCGGTCGTTTGCGCTACGCATTTCTTTTGCTTCGATGTCATCCCTGCAGATCGCATTACAAATACGCAGAAGTAATTGCATTTCAGTTATTTTTTCTGGGAAACAATTGACAAAGTGTATTTCTCTCGTAAATATTTACGTGGGAAGCTTGAATAAGCCTGTAAATATTTATGCGCGATACAGATTTACTCGTTTCTCTAAAAAAAAATATTTGATAGAGGATATAAAAAATATCTTTCATCAAATGAAAAACAAACTTGAAAACGTTTATAAAAATAAAAAAATTAAAAATTATTAATTGTATACTGTTATGTAATTGGGAGGGAAATGAAATTCGTCCATAATTAAAATTACTTTGTTAGGTAATAATTAATCTGAAATAAAAGATCAAATAAAAAATTTGATACGATTAACATGTTATGATATCGAACTCATGATAAGCACAATAATTCTGGAATATCGGACCATAACGTACAAAAGTATATCACGTAATCGGTACGATCTTCAAAGAATAGTTCTAATTAAGCCAGTCTATCATTAGTTGAACGTACAGACTTCTCTGGTTTATCTCAACAAATCAATTATGTTATTCTAAATTTCGAATAAAATTGGAGAAAAATGCTTTGAGATGATTATTTTAAATTTCGCGTAAAATTGCTGGAAAGAAATGCTATAAGATATAAAGTAAAGAGTTGGTTATCGGCGACGTTGTCAGTAAAACTTTTCTATTTGAAGGAAATAAGATTCTGCCACATAGTCTTTCATTTATTTCTTCCGATAAATCGTTCGACAAACCGGGAATAGGTTTTCCCGTGAAGGAAAATGAATCGCGAACGTATTTGTTCTCGATGATGAAGATGTCATTTTGAATAAATGACGCGTCGCATTTTCAATATTTATGATAAGTCTATCAAGTGTCTCAAATAAGATTATAAATTATTAATAAAGTTTCTCGTCTTTGGGGAAATCTAAAAACTATAAATTTATTCGACATCTTTCTCTCTTTCTTAAGACAATTTTTTCCCACTTTCTTTAATATTTTGTTCTCAAATTAAACATTTCAAATAAAATTAGGAAAAATATACTGCTAATATTATTTCATTAATTAATAAAAAGAATGTTTAATTAATTAGTAGAAAGAGTATTTAATTCGATTGAAAGAGATTTAGATTACACGTTCTGCCATACCTTTTATTTTTTATGTATTTTATTTTTTATGTAGGTATATATATTCAATGAACATTTGATTGAATTCTGTTTTTTCTCATATGAATGAATGGCAATCCATTTCTACTTCACGCTAGTAAGTGATAAAGATCAATGACCAGAGCGAACGTGTGTTCGCATCTTTTCACTTTATTCGTGTCAAGTGCAACAATTCGCGATGGAGATTTATTAATCGTTATTCCTAATTGTAACTGGCATTCGCTGATGAATTGACAGATTAACTGCAATAATGTATTCCGTTAAAAAATAATAATCCTTGCCGTAATTCAATTCTGTTACAAAATTTCTATTTTTTTTTAGTAAGCAAAAATTTAAGGGGCACTTTTCTTGTATCGGACAAATTTAAGAGATTTAATTCGGAGATAAAGTTTTAACAGATCGTTTAAGATAAATTTAAATATAACATGCGCTAATTGACACATTAATCATATCGACACGTGGATCAGTGGAAAGAAGATCGTCGCAGACCGAATGGAAACGTCGATGTGAGACCGCTCGCGAGCCTCAAAAGCCTGATGGCAATCATGCTTCATTGTGAACAAATGTAATTTAATAATGTGACAACTGGCCACCACAACAGCATAATTCACCGATGGAGGGATAACGGGACGAAAAGGAAGGCAAAGGAAGGAAAGACAAAACGAGTGGGCGAAGGGAGAAGAAAGAGGAGGAAACACAAAGTGGCGCTCGAAGGGGAAAGAGTGAAAGGGGAAACGGAGTCTCGCGATATTTCTGCGAGATGTTGCATCAGTCTCCTGACGTTTCTTCTTCCTTTTGTTCTACGCGAATCTGTCAAGGAACACAACTCCGAGCGGCGCGAAGTCTTCTTGCCAAACTCTGCGTCAAAGGAATGAAATCCTTTATTGACGAATTAATATTATGCCTCGTGCAAATCGAGCATTCACGATGAGATTGTCCCGTATGTAATTTCTCAATGAACGAGGAAACAAAGAGGCCGAGGCAAGCAGGCAATACAATAGATATATCCAATTGAAAGGCAAAATAACCGACATAAATATGTTTGTTTTTTCTTTAAATCATATTTTCAACCTGAAAATATAGTAAAATTCTTTCAGTTAGTAAAATTTAAAATATGACAAAAAACTTATGTGTAAAAATTTAGAAAAGACTATAATCAAAGTTATACAATTATAGTTAATTACAATTAAATTGAAGATTTGTAATTTCTTTTTCTAAAAATCAACGTAAAATTATGATGATTATTATAAAAACTATTATAAAAATTATCACACTTCCGCTGTTGTTCAACTTGCGCCAATAAATTATACCAATGAATTCATACAACGATTTTCATTTTTGCGGAATCGTTAATAGACAAAAAAAAAAAGAAAATCGAATTTTCTCTTTTATCTTATAAATTAGAGTATATTCTATTTTCCTAAAATAAGTTGACAATTAACGTGTATCCATTCTATTCGATAGATATTGATAAAGTAATGAAATCGTGTGTGCAACCAGTTCGATTAAAGCTAGCACGATATAAAAAACGGCCTCTCTTTAGTATAAAATTATAGGGAAAGGTCGTATAAGTATTTCAAAGTGAACGACACGTGTAAAACCGGGTGGCATTCGTGATCACACATGACTCTTAATTAGATTGACTTAATTTCACTCTGCGTGTCGTAATAGGTTCATATATCACACCTGCTGTGAGCAATGTATCATGTGCTGAAAACTAAGTAATTTGCTTACCTCATAATAGAGATATTCACAAATTAGCGATACAAGAGATGTCTTTTTAATCTTGTTCTTAATTAAAGAAATTATATACATCTTGATTGTCGAATACGTCCTCTGATTGCACGGTAATTAATTCGATTGTTTGCATTGATTGTTTCAGGTATTCTCGCTTTCATAAATTGCTGGGATGTCAAATGGGCGACGAGAGTGCAGGACATCTTCACGTATGCGAAATTACTCGCGCTTTTCATAATAATCTTCACCGGAGCGTATCAGCTTTGCACTGGTGAGTCTGTCCATTATTGTAATTATATAATAACAAGATAAAATTCTGCACACGATATTTAACTTGATAAGATAAACGAGTTCGGAAAAAAAATAACAAGAAATAGGAAATAAAGACTAAGGAAATTATGCATTTAAACATATTAATGTGTTAAAATAACATGTAAATTAATCACGCTTTAAAATAAATCTACAATGCAAAATATTCAATCTAAAAAGATAGTAAATCCAATACAAGGAGATAGCTACGTAATCTATTAATATTTTAACAATATAAACATATTATAAGATACATGTATTATAATATATATTATATTTATATTGTATTTTAAAATATAAGCAATAATATAATTCGGAATAAAATAAAATACCTAATACATTTATATCACGAAATATTCTTACGAAGACAGAATTAAACATTTTCTATCCAATATCTTCGAAGTGGTACGCGAGATAAATTAATAATACAAATAGAATAGACTTGCTAGAGCGCATTATGAGGTGAAAGGTCAACGACATCACTCGATCGCGTGCAGTTTGCAGCGATTTGCAACGATCCCGAGCGATGCTAATCGAAACCACGTGATCACGTTCTCCGTTTTTCGTGCATCGTGAACTTTTCTCATTCCTTAATGCGAACGATTTCACGGAACATCGAGAATCACGGAACACCGTGGTTCTCGGTATAACATATATACTTCCAACAAGTCGAAAGAATCGTTTCTTGTGTCAGAGAGACTTTCTCTCCGTAAATTGTCAAACTTAATCGATCGATAGTTCTAACGTTTTTTAATACGCCGCGTGATCGTATCTCCCGTCGCTCCCTTCATTCTCGTCGACATCGAAGAATAAAATTATGAAGTGTATATAATAAATTAATTAATTCGATCGACATGTTTCTAATTATTATTGTTGTTATTAATGTTGAATATAATAAATGTATAATTTTAGTAGCAATCACACAATTATTAATATTTCATTCAAAGATATGAGATGGAATAGAAAAAATATTAAATCTCACAGGACCATACACTGCTAAAAATTTTCTTAAATTTCATTAAATTTTAAGTTATACAATTTGAACTTAATTTCATTAAATTAAATGTACTTGTAACTAAAAAGTATATTTGCGTACATAAAATTTAATGTGTTTTTCATGAAAATTTATGAAATTTAATGTACTTTTCATAAAATTTTATTAAAAGTATTAAGTAAATTTCATAAATTTAATGTACACGTTCATTACATTTAAATAATTACTGTAACTTAATTTTCAGTTAAGTCATTCATTACTTTTAATTTCGTTCATAACCACGAGCTTCATTTACATGTAAAGGAAGCCCGTGGTTACATTCCTAACAGAGTACAAACATGTGGAAACATAACCAATAGGAAATAATAAAATGCATTTACAATGGCCTGGCTGGATCTTAAGTGCTTGTATAATTCTATGTGAATTTATGTACGACGTATGCAGTCCTTCAAACTGCGCATCGAAATAATTTCAATCGCGAAAACGGAAACTCTACTAAACTACTGCAGTAATATCACGAGTTAAATTAACTAGCAATTTAACATATCTTTCGATGCTTTTATCCATCTTAATAATGCTGAATGGCATATTAAAATCTGTCAATAATTAATATGTATTGCGAAAGATATTATCTCGGCCGAGATTCGAACCCTGACCTCTAGCATTCCGTGCGAGCGTTCCTTCCGAGAAAAGAAAGATATGGAAGATATGAAAAACTATGGAGCTAAGAAAAATTCTTGTAACCAACCTGCAACTAAACTAGCATCAAGAATGATTCAATCTCAGATCGTAGGAAAATACTTGTTTTTTTTTTTTTTGTTGTAAGAATCAACCGTTCAGGCGGAAGTTACTTAAACGTTTTTTCAGCATCGTATGCTTCCCGGACGAGACAATTTACCCAATCAAAAAGGTGCGCAGGCGATGCGATGTAGTCGGTGTGCGTGCAAGGAATCGCTTAAATTGGACTATTCAGCGAAGCAAATGGTTCCTTGACCATGGTATGCGACAATCATCTCAATTCTGACGAAACTTTTCGTCCGATCTTACACGCCACTGAACTTCACGCTCGCCTTTCGTTAACGATCCCGCTCAATCCAGCCTCATTCATTAGAGAGCCAGTTAAAAAGAAATTCTAATTATGAAATACAAGAAATCGAGATGTCGGTGAGAAATTGTTACTAAAGTACAGCGGCAAAGTACGATGCTTGTTTTCTTGCTGGATTGCTAACTGGATTAGATTCTTGCTATCATATTGGTTGCGATGCTGGCATTGTCAGCACCGCAGCCAATACGGTAACAAGATTCTAATCTAGCTAGCAATCCAGCAGAAAAATATGCCCCCGGTTTTAGACATTGTAAATGATATCGATATCGTTTTGTAGTTACGCCTACGTTCTTACATACATTTAATGTACTTAAATAAAGAAAACGTTAAAAATTGATCGCTACTAAAATTATGCATTTATTATTAATATTGAATACTAACAATATTAATAATTAATTATTCTCAATAGAACAATAATTTTTCGATATTCATGATCTTTATGTTTTATTTTCCTAGGACACACACAGTATTTTACGTTTGACAACAGCAACACGGAAGTCACGTCTATAGCACTCAGTTTTTATTCAGGCCTGTTCGCTTACAACGGTTGGAACTACTTGAACTTCATAATTGAAGAACTGAAAGACCCCGTTAGGTGAGAACTAAGCCTGTCGCACAATAAATTAAACGCGATTCAGAGGAAGTTCATAACTGAACGTTAATTCAGCGACAATAGCCGCTGCAGAAAATTTATGTTACTCCTGTACGCTTATAACCGTGTATTTATTTAGGAATCTACCGAAGGCCATCGGCATTTCGTGCGCTCTCGTTACGGTTGTCTACGTCTTTACGAACATGGCCTTTTACACTACTCTTAGTCCCGTCGAAGTGCTCGGTAGCGAAGCTGTGGCGGTGGTAAATAACAACAAATATATTTTCCCGATAAAAAAAAAAAAGGAGCCTTTTAAGAATCTTAGAAGAAATGTAATTTAAAAAATATTATACAAACACTAAATCTTGCTTTAATATAATCAAATAATAATTTCTATCTGTATATTCTAATCACATTATAATTTAATCATTATGTTCATACTTATTCTAGTCTCGACATTTGAATAATATTTATATATTACTTTAGAATCATTTTATCTTCTTTATATTAACCGTTATTAAAATTAACTATTATCTACGTGTGTATGAACTAATAATTTTCTAAAACAATTAGTTACTTGTTTAAAGCTCCTAAACTGCCTTATTATTAGCAGACATACGCAATATGTACGTATAATTACTTTGTTACCCCTAAAGCTCTTGTCTTTATTTCGCAGACATACGCAAACAGATTGTTCGGCGTGATGGCGTGGACGATACCGGTTTTCGTAGCTCTATCTACATTTGGCGCAGTTAACGGCATTTTACTCACGTCCTCGCGACTTTTCTATGCGGGTGCCTGCGAGGGTCAAATGCCAGAGATACTGACGATGATCCAAATTTCCAGACTGACACCTGCGCCCGCTGTAATTTGCATGGTAAACTGTTCTTCTCTCCAATTCGAAAGCTTGTCTTAATTTGAAAAAAAAAAAAAGATATATATATATATATATAAATCGGCTAGACTATGATATTAATCGGTGACGAACTACTACGTCATGTAAAATGCATTCTATCAATAATATAATAACTCTTTCCCAACAACACTGAATCATAGATATGTAAAATCGTATTTTACATATCTGAATTTTATTTGCGTAAGATAATACTTAACTTTTGAAGAATTTATCTTTAAATTATTAAAGATTAATGTTAAAGTTATTAATTTTTAACTAATTACATATTAATTTTACGTTAACTTAACAAATTAATTCGTAATAGATAGATGATTTCCTTTCAACAATTGATTTCAATTCGATCTGTTATTTTATCTTTATACCGCGAAACAACACACACGCACACACACACACACACACTAAATTTTCACGTACAAATCAACCCTTCGCGCCTGTTGACCAACTTGATTACTGTTAGACTCAATAAACACATAAGCGGACAATCTAACAGACAAATTGTTTCCATTGTCAAACTTGTTGCGGTGGGCAAATTTACTTTGTCAGAATTAGAAAAGGCACTCTATCGTAAGCATGGACCCTTAATTGAAAACACAATCTCTTTCCAGGCCCTATTATCTATGCTGTACTTGTGCTCTTCCAACATTTTCCGTCTTATCAATTATGTCGGCTTCGCCACCTGGGTACGTACGATTTTTACACTCGTCGGACTTTCTTTTATAACGGAAATAAATTTTGCGTAATAGATGATATCAAAGAGATACCGTTTCGTGAACATGACTTCAGATTTCTTCTTTCCATTGATTAACACAAAGTAAATGACCTTCTCGACTTTATTATACGAATCATACCTCGTCATTCGAAGGTCGTGCAGCGTAATTACAGTGCGATCACTAAATATTTCTTAGAAGATTATGTACTCGCCCGCGATTAATTAGCTCAATTGGAACAGTAATAATTTTCCAATTAGCTGATCACTTGACGCAATTGAGTTATAAATTTGCAGTCAATTCTTTGCATCTGTATACATATTTGATTTCTTTTCGATGACTCTGTCAACACGCGCACTTTAATTCTAAGCGATAACATTACTTTTAACTTCGCGAAATATACATTTGTACATTATTAAATTAGAAAAAATAATGTGATTCTTATAAAATTATAATTCCTAACTTTCTAATTGTTAACTTAAATAACTTCAACTTTAATCCGTTATATCTTAAAAAATTATGATATCTCATCAACAATATTATTTTTAGCAAGTGTTTGAAATATTTCTTTAATATTAAATTATACGTTATTTTGTTATGTAATTATTTTAATTATTTATAAGTTCTCTTTTGATTTTTTTATATATTTATAACTTCCATTTATATTTACTACAATTTAATTCAACTTGTAGCTCAGCATAGGTGTCTCCGTGTTGTGCCTTCCGTGGCTCAGGTGGAGCCAGCCGAACTTGTTGAGACCGATCAAAGTGAATCTCATTTTTCCGATCTTCTACATCCTAGCCACTCTCTTCGTTACGATTGTTCCGATGTACGCGAGTCCCGTTGAAACTGGTGAGCATCCGTCACATCGTTAATGATTCGTGATATAATTGTGTAAAAATTAATACTTCACAAAAGCAATTCTTTTTTAGGATACGGCTGTCTGATGATATTTTCCTCCATACCTGTCTACCTCGTATTTATCTCGTGGAAAAACAAACCGAAATTCTTCCAAAAAAGAGTCGGTAAGTCTAACGAATGTAACACGATGTGCTACATAATATATTATAAATTTCAATCAATAATTAACATATCGAGCATTTATAGACACAATATCGGTTGTTAAAAATTATTGTTAAAAAATATTAAGTAACTTCCTTCGCTTTATTCTGTGAAAATGTATTAAGACATTGATCATTTTTAAGAATAAAACTGAAAGATAGAGAAAGGGAGTAAGAATATCACACAAAAGAGCTCTTAATTTACTTTAATCAAAACCGCAGAGTGATTTTTAATAAGACATACGTCCATTACCTGATTTTAATTCATAATAATATTTAAGGAGTCATCTTTACACGGTGGCGAACGATTTTTCTTTTATTTCGTTTTTATTCTACAATTAATTTATTCCCACAGGCGCCGTCACCCAAACTTTGCAGAAGATGATGGTAGTCGTGGGGCCACAAAAGGCAAAGGTTCAGAACACACAGTAACATAATTTTACTCTTGTCATGTCACGCATGTATTAGCATCCATATATTTTCTTTGCTTCCTATTTTTCGTTTTATCTGATCGGAACATTTGCTAGGATTATCCCATCTTTCAAAATTGCTCTCGATTCATGTATGCATGCTTCTAATCGTTATCACAATTTCTCTTCGCTCTATTGTACATTTACATTTTATCACACTCTCTTAATCATTAACTGTCTTCTATTGTATTATATATTATAACGATATTGTATAATTTATAAGCTTTCAAAAATAAAAGTTAAATTCTTGCTTGCTGCCTGATCATCTCGCTTATCATTTCTTCGGTTTGGAAATCAGCATACGACTGTTTTCGATGCACATCGTGATTTTGTATTTGAATCATCGTCCGTATAATTTTTTTGATTATTTAGGATAGTTATTTAAAATCTTGAAACATCCTTTTCAAATTTGAAGAGTTTAACGTCGTTTTATCGGCCGCGTTACTCGCAAATAAATTAATTGAGTAATTGCTGGCGCTTTCATTTAAGTTAACTAGGACATTATTGAGATTTGATTTCGCACGTCACACACATCGACAGTACAGACACACTGACACATTCGAACAAACCAAATCGAATCTCTCTCAAAGAACCCTAATATCTCAGATATTAGCAATCAAGACGCGATTGATCGCGTTCTCTTTGCTAGAATCGCATTTGCATCCAATGACCCCGGGTTATCCTGGTTATCACATTTATAACATCTCGCTTACTCTTGTTGCAGTAAGCACTACAAGGTGGTTGCAGAAGATAATGCTAGTAGTCGGCAAGGCGAAACCCGCTCAGGTATAAACAGTCAAGACGAACCGGATCGAAACCAAAATGACGAAGACGAGGCCTTTCCGGAATCGGAAGACGCAGAGGATTTCTGTCGATCTTCGAGTTATAATCTCTTCCTTCTGCCGGGAAAGAATGCGATTGGGAGCGAGATTGGTTAGCATATCGATTCCACAGGATCGACGGTATTATTCTCTTGACTCTTCTGGATTGAAGAACAAGCGTCCTAGAACAAGAGGCAGCCATATCTACGTGTTAGGACGCCAAAAAAAAAAAAAAAAAATTAAGGCGAAACGGTTCGTCTCCCAGATCTTTCGAATCTCGTCCTTGACGAGAACTCCCGTCAAGACGTGCCCGCCCAAATTTCGAAGCAAGGCTGTTATTTCTCGTTCGATGTCACGGCAAAGAGATATATGCGATGACACGCCTGCACGCTTCTGAGTTCATTGATTTTACTCGACAGTTAGCGTCGAAGTCTTCATGTTTTAGATAAATACTGATTTTGTATTGGTGCTGTCAGTAACAACTACAAATGCCATTATTTCTCTTTGCAGATAACACTTAATAATTGTAAATCTTAATAATTTGCTCGAATAGAATAATTATAAAGAAATTTGTAAAATAAATTAAATATTGCAATCCGAATGATTAAAAAACGTTATATTTCTGGATAAAATAATTGATTATTTGAATGTTTTGGAGATACGATTAACTCACTGTGTTAGCAAATGCTAATACCGCTACTTATGAAACGTTATTAAGAATGTTTTAAAAATACATCATGTTTGTAAATTTGACATATTTAAATATCGAGATTTATCACTGGTACGACGTAAAATTGTTTTCTATCACAATTATATTTGATTTACTTGTCTTATAAAGATTAGAAATGATAAACACGTAGAGCGTTTAAAAATTTTAAAAATTCTGCAAAATAAATTTTAATTTCAAAAAAATCATAATTCTAATTATATAGGGTGAATCAAAGTCGTTGAACCAACATTTTATCTATGAGAAAATAATTGACTGCACGCGTTATAATTCAATTAGGTATGAAGTCGATAATTTTCTCATAGATAAAATGTTGGTTCAACGACTTTGATTTACCCTGTATATAATTTAAGAGGCTAATTTGAAAGTGATCTTAAATGAAGA